TATTTTTACTAGCATATATTAATTGTAGAAAGGGATTTAATTTTGATATTTACATGTATATATATGTGTGTGTGTGTGTATATATATATATATGTATATATGAAATGTCCTCTGATCAAATTCATATCCTTAGTTAATTCTGCCTACTTTCTTTTAAAAACTAATTTTAATGGATTTCATTGTTCTATTTTTACACATACATATAAAGTAATTTGGTCATGGCCATCCTTCATGACCCTCCCACCTCATGCTAACCCTTCTGCTTGATTCCCCACCCCAAGCAATCCCCCCTTTACATTTATATCATGTTTTTCATTTGTTTTGTGGTTTTTTTTTTTTGTCTAGATTCCTCATAAGAGAGAAAACATTTTTCTAGAATCTGGCTTTTTTTACTTGCTTAGTTCAATGATTTGGAGTTCTATCCACTTTCCTGTAGATGACATAATTTCATTCTTCTTTATGGCTGAATAATCTGTTACATAAGCTTCTTTATCTGTTCATCAATTGATGGACACCCACGCCGATTCCATACTTTGGCTGTTGTGAATAGTGTTTCAATAAACATGAGTGTATATTTATCTCTATTGTATGTTGAATTACATTCCTTTGGATTATACACCTAGGAATGGTATAGAAGAATCATGCTAGTTCTAGTTTTAGTTTAGTTTTTTTAACAATAATTTTATTAGTATGTATTAGTTGTACAGGTGAATTTCATTGTAATAGTTCCATGTATATTTGCAATGTACCTTGGTTAAGGCTCATCACCACCATTATTGTTCCGCAACTCCCCCCGACACATACACTTAAAAACTATTTCAGCAGGTTTCATTGTTCTATTTTCATGCGGGTTTATAAAGTACATCAACCATATTCACCCTCCTTTACCCTTTCCATCCTCCCATTCCCTCCCACGGCTACCCATTCCCTAGCAGAACCTATACTACAATCCTGTCCTTCATTTTTTAAAGTGTATATTCACTGTTCATAGGGACTTTGCCATGATCTAGTTTCAGTTTTTTGAGGAATTTACATACTGATTTCCATAGTGGTTGCACTAATTTACATTCCTACCACCAATATCTAAGGGCTCCTTTTCCCTCACATCTTCTTCATCATTTGTTGTTTTTTTGATGATAACCATTCTGACTGGGGTGAGATGGAATCTCAGGGTAGTTTTGATTTGCATTTCCTTCATAGTTAAGGATGTTGAATGTTTCTTCATGTGTTTATTTGCCATTTGTACTTCTTTACAGAACTGTCTGTTTAATTCATTTGCCCATTTATTAATTGGATTTTTTTGGCGGTTTTGGTGTTTTAATTTTTGAGCTCTTTACATTGTCTGGATTAATACTTTGATGAATAACTGGCAAATATTTTTCTCCCATTCTGTAGTTTATCTCTTGATTCTGGCAATTGTTTACTTTGCAGGAGTTTTTAAATTTGTTGCAATCCTGTTTGTCAATTCTTTCTCTTACATTCTTAGTTATTGGAAGTCTACTTAGAAAGTCATTGCCTCTGCTTATTTCTTCAAGGGTTTTCCCTGTGGTTTCCTGTAGTAGTTTCAAAGATTCAGGTCTTAATTAATATCTTGGTCTATTTAGAATTGATTATTGTACAGGGTGAGAGATAGGGATCTAGTTTCTGTGTTCTGCATGTGGATAGCCAGTTTTCCCAACATCATTTGTTGGAGAGACTGTCTTTTTCTCCAGTGTATGTTCTTGGTGCCTTTGTTGAAAATCAGATTACTGCAGCTATATTTTATTTCTGCATCTTCTGCTCCATAGGTCTACTTGCCTTTGTGTTTTTTTTTTTTTTTTTTTTTTTTTTATTGCTATGGCTGTGTAGTATGGCTCAGGATTGCTTTGGCTATTCATAGTCTTTTATGCTTCCACATGTGTTTTGGGATTGATTTTACAATCTCTGTGAAGTGTAACATTGGAATTTTGACATGAATTGCATTGAACGTGTATATAGTCCTCTACAGTAAGAGCCATTTATACAATATTAGTTCTGCTGATCCATGAATATGTCTGGTCTTCCCATCTTCTAGTGTCTTGAAATTCTTCAACATTTTATAGTTATCATAAATTTATCCTTTCTTGAGTTATTCGTAGATATTTTGTAAGGCATTATTGACAATTTCTTTCTCAGTCTGTTTGTAAAGCTATATTGAAAAGCTGATTTGTGAATGCTGAGTTTGTATTCTGGAAGTATTTATCAGATTGTGGAGTTTTTAGGGTCTTTTAAGAATATGATCATATTATAATCAGACTGGGGTAATTTGATTTCTTTCCTTCCTACTTGTGTACCTTTTGTTTCTTTCTCTGACCTTAGTTGGTCTGGTTAAAAATTGAGGTGCTGGAGTTTCTGTGTGTGGAGGAGTCTTTCCTGTGTGGAGGACAGGAAATGTTTCTCTCTTTCTCTCTCCACTCCCCCTTGTCTATACTTTATCCTGTTATACTAAAGTAAATCCTTTCTAAAACTTAAAAAAAAAAACGAATTCAAGTGCTGTGTTGATAAAGTGGAGAAAATAGATGCTCTCATCTCATTCTTGTCTTAAGAGAAATGGTTCCAGTTTTAAATTAGTATAGTCTTGGCTATCGGTTTGTCATATGTAGCCTTTTATATGTTGAGGTACATTCTTCTTATTCCTAATTTCTTCAGGGCTTTTTGTCATAAAGAGATGTTGAAATTTGCCAAAGGTCTTTCCTGTATCTATTGAGGTGATCATGTGAATTTTGTCCTTTATTCTAGACTATATTATGTTTATTGATTTATACATGTTGAATCATCCTTGCATCCCTGTATATGCCAACTTGGTCAGGGCATATCTTTTTGATAAGTCTTTGAATTTGATTTCCATGTATTTTATTGAGAATGTTTACGTCTATTCATCAAGGAAATTGGTCTATAATTTTCTTTTTCTGTTGTATCCTTCTCTGGTTTTGGTATCAAGGTAATACTGGCTTTGTAGAGAGAGCTTGATAGTGTTCCTTCCCTTTTTATTTTGTGGAATAGTTTGAGGAGCATTCCTTAAAGATGTGTGTGTTCCTGATGTGTCTTTGTTTAGAGATACTTTATTACTGCTTCAATTTCATTGCTTGTTATAGATCTATTTAAGTGGTTTATTTCCTCTTGATTCAATTTTGGTAGGACATATGCATCTAGAAGTTACCCATTTCTTGTAGATTTTACAGTTTTTTGAAATATAAGTTTCTGAAATATTTCCTAGTGATCCTCTGAAGTTCATTGGCATTTGTTGTGATAGTCCCCTTTTCATCTCTGAGTTTATTAATTTGGGTCCTCTTTCTCCTTTTGGTTAGTTTGGCTAAAGGTTTGACAGTCATATCTTTAAAAGAGCCAACCATTTGTTTCATTGTTTCTTTGTATTTTTCTATTTCATTAATTTCTGCTCTGATGCTATTATTTCTTTCCATCTACTGATTTATTCCTGTTTTTCTAAGAATTTGAAGTACAAGTTTAGGTTCCACATATGTGCTTTTCACATGTATTCTATCCTTTTTTTGCATGCACAGACTTTCGTATCCAATCAGTGCTCCTGGTAGATTTCATTTTACATTAAGCACTTGGTGCTAATCTTGGTAACCTTGTCTTTTTTTCAGCCATCAGCTGTTTATTATAAACCCAGGCTGTGCTATGTGGCCATTGGTTCCTCAAGAGGATAGTGAGGCAAGACAGACACACAGAGATGAGGATTTGTGTCAGTGATTTCCTGTTTCCTTCCACTTCCACCAGCTCAGTACTTTTCATTTTTATGAAACATGGAAATGTGCAGTGGAGTTTGGCAGCATGGATATGCAGAGACAGCACCAAAAGAGATGTTTTGGCTTTTTTAATCTAAAAGGAGTTGCTTTTTCATGTGTGATCTTGCCTGTCTCAAGTTAGAGGAAAAAGTTGATACTTTTTTCAAACTTAACCTTTTCACAGATGTTCAAAGAAAGAATAAATTGTACCCCCCCTTACCTAGTGCTATTTTTGGAGTCTGGAGCATTGTGGTATTTGAGGGTGGTTGTACATCTGTGCATTAAGATACTACTACCTCCTCAAATACAATTTACTGGTAAACCCTAGAAATGTGGGACATTGTAATAGTGTTTTCAAAACTAGTAAAGCAGGAAGAATCAAATAGGATAAAGTCAAGATTGTAAGTTTCTTTCTACCTGTAATTATCCTACTAACTTAAGTAGAGAGATCAAAAGAGAGAGTTAAAGAATTCAGTAAACTGCAGAATTTGAATACCAGTACCACCATTTATTTCTGCTGGCACAGTGGCTCTGGCAAGACACTTAATCTCTGTATGTCTTTGTATCCTCAGGAACCAAGAAGGTTGTAGAAATTAAAAACAGTAATATTAGGGCTAGGTGCTGGTGGCTCACTGCTGTAACCCCTGCTACTTGGAAGGCAGAGATTGGGAGGACAGTGGTTTGAGGCCAGCCACACAAAAAATTAGTGAGACCTCCTTTCAAGAAAAAAAGCCAGGTGTGGTGGGGTATGTCTAGAATCCCAGCTACATGGGAGGCATAGGTAGGAGGATTGTGGCCCACGCCGACTATATCTGAAAAACAACCTAAAGTTAAAAGGGCATGAGGCAAGACTCAAGTGTTCACCTTGGATTTAAGTCCCAGTATTGCCAAAAGAAAAATAGCAATTTTATAACAGTATAAAATTCATGCAGGCACAGGCAGAGCACTTAGAATTTGTCTGGTGAGAACTCAAGCGCCAACTATTCTGGAGCCTCCACATTTCCTTTCTGAGTAGTGTTCTGAGATGACCTCCATTGTTCCCCTGCACGGGAAGAGGTAGCGCCCTTGGGCAGTGGGTGCCATTCTCTCAGGAATGTGAGAGGACCCAATGTTTTGAGACTTACATAATTAACGTACAGTTATCTCCTTGGAACATGGCAGTAATGAGCCAGGCTTTCTTGAACATTAAGGGGAAAAATTAAAAACTGAAGTTTGCTAAATGTATGTTTTTACAGGTTGGACAATCTGCTCAATATGGCTTATGGAGTAAAGAGGTAATGATAGAGGTTCATGATACTCATATTTGCTTCCCACAATTGATCAGTTTCTTTGATTGATTTGGGGAGTAATATTTCCACCTCATAAATTTGTGTTGGGTTTTATTTTGCATGTGCAACCTAATGAAAAGGTGCTTTTTTTTTTTCCGAAGCATGTTTGACTCATGGAATATTTTTAATACCACTGGATGTCTCTTGGTCTTTCAAAAACTCATTATTTGTTTCATACTGCATTGCGACGTTGCAGCATGTTAATATGTGTTGGTTTTTCTCCCCTCAATCCTGCTTAATTCATGGAGCCAGTTTTAAGTATATTTGTTTGCCATTATAGACAGTATTAATGGGTGCAGCAAATAATGACCATTTCATAACTTATTAATATGTGGGTAGCATAGCATGTCACTGTATGCCAACGTAGGGCCTGGTTGAAACATCAAATAGCTGTATGTTATTTGTTGGTAGAAGGGAATTGCTAAAATTCTTGGGGATGGAAATGGAAAAAGAAGTTAAATCCATTGCTGTAACCAACTTCTGTTTCTGTGTGTGTGTGTGTGTGTGTGTGTGTGTGTGTGTGTGTGTGTGTACATGTGTTTCTCATTTTGTTTAGTAGGTTTTCTCCAATGACCATTGATGGAATGACCAGTTTGGCTGGAATTAATATCCCTGGGCACCCTGGAACAGGGTGGTGCATATTTGTGTACAACCTGGCTCCTGATGCAGATGAGAGTATCCTGTGGCAAATGTTTGGGCCTTTTGGAGCTGTCACCAATGTGAAGGTCATCCGTGACTTTAACACCAATAAATGCAAAGGTTTTGGATTTGTGACTATGACAAACTATGATGAGGCTGCCATGGCGATAGCTAGCCTCAATGGATACCGTCTGGGAGACAGAGTTCTGCAGGTCTCCTTTAAGACAAACAAAACGCACAAAGCCTAATGAGCTCTTGTCCTCAGTCCATTTATATATGAAAACTATACAACAAAGGCAAGTTAAGAGAAACTTTATACATTAGTAAATGTCTTTGTAAGTCAGTGTTGAGATGGGGATAAAACGACTACTTAGCATCCTAAGAAATATGTGAGATTTTTTATTGCTAGTATTTGAATTAAAACTTCTTAAATATCTTTTATGTTTGAATATGGACAAGAGGTACAGGGTTTTTACCTGTCACATTGCATTCTATTGCCTTCTTTGAAGAAGGTGGACCTTTTAAAGTGTTTCAGCTAAGGGAAGACATTTCTTTTCTTTTTACATAACTGCCTTGAACCTGTGAGTAAATATTGAGGCTTTGTGTTGTAATTCTTCAGTTGGTTGTGTCTTTTTTTCCCCCCTTTTTTTCTTTTTTCTGATTAGCTTTGTGTTTGGTTTACATTTAAAGCATTGCTGTTATGTCTAAGAAAAGTATTTTGAAGTTTACATTTTTATTTATGAAGTTAAAAACAGTATTTATTTTGTAATTATGATTTGGGTTGGGGAAGGGGGGGCTACATTATAAACGCTTATTGTAAGAATACTGGAGAACTTTTCGTAAAGCAGTACCTTGCCAAAGAGATAAGAGCCTCTTTGATGTGGGTTTAAAAAAAGCATCTATTTTTATAAAAAAGAAAATTTGGAGAAACTTTTTACTGGTCCTGGAACAAATATTTTGACTTGAATACTTTGAGAAATCTCTTCATATGACACCTAGTGAGCTTTTAAAATTTACCAGGAAATTTGCAGCGGTTGGAAAATTTAGAAGGATTTATGATGTAGGAAATACTTTTGAGATCTTTGTGTGAAAGGAATAGAATCAATGAGGGAAACACTGCTGGTTTCATTTTTGTAATCACCAGTGGAGTGTCTGATCATCCTGGTTATTATGTGATAGGTGGCTCACATTGATTTGTGATATTGAAACAAATAAAAAAAATTTACAAAAGAATATATAAGAGCAGGCAAGAAATTTAAATTACCAAGAGATGGGGGAAAAATCTGTTCTTCCTAAAGAAATCCCTTCAGATAGAGCTCATGGTGTTTAGTGATGTACTTGCAGTATTGTTTGAAGAATTGTTTTGTCTTAAGGAAAATAAAAGATGTTGCACATGATTTGTACTGCAGCAAATCAGTAAAAGTGATCTGAGTTGGGTATATTTGAAGGTATTTTGAAAGTTACGTTTAAGGCTAACACCTGAGCTTTTGTGTAATGTAAATAAGACCTTGTGTTTATGAACCTTTCAGCTAATTTGATTTTTTTTTCCCTTACATGCCAAGTGATGTTCAGGTTTTGAATGTTTTTGTATCAGTTTTTTCCTTTGTAAATGGCATTAACATTGTTACTTGAGGTCTTGCTTAATCACTTTCGTTGTCCTGAGGACTTGAATTTACAGTGCATCAGATTTGTTGCTAATTTTGTCTGTAGATAGTCTAGCTTCAGCTGTTTATGGTGATGCTACATTTTCGTTTATAAATATGTTTGTGGTAAAAAAAAGAAAAATGAGTATAACCATAGGTTTTGAACAAATTTCCTTACATTTTTCATACAAAAATCATAAATATCTGTATGCTATTGAAATTTAACTTTGTATGATGCTTAAACCACTATTTGGGGAAATAATAAAATAAGTCTTTACCATGTATGAAAGAAATTTTAAAAAATACAAAATATTTTCTGATTAGCATCTAGCTTATAATAAATTTTCAAAAAAGCTGAAGGCAAAAGTTGTCTTCATCAGGATGCACTGAGAACTATATAGTTACGTCCTGCTTTTTGTATAAACTGAGATGCTCACATGCTTCCCCTTAGAACAGGCAATGTGCTATGCATAACATAGTTGTACATTATCTTTGCGGTTGCTTTGAGTTTTATTTTTTATTATTTAAAATTGTAGTTATAAAACTTTTCAGTATAGTACAGTACATATACTGTGAGGCGCGTGCTAAAGTGAATAAGCGAGTTTTCATGCTGACCCACTCAATGCTATCCAGAACTCAATTGGCTTAGCACTTTCTCATATCCTTAGGTGCATTTAGATTGTCAGAGTTAACCTGCGTTTAAAGAAAAAATAAAAATAAAATACATGTATATACTTAAAAAAACAAAATAAGGTTTCCCTCATGGGAAAACAGCAGCTACATGCTTCTTTCCTATACTACTGTAGCAAACCAAGGCATTGATGAGAGGGCATGCAAATTGTGCTTCACTTTACAGTGTTTATCAGAGCACTTAATAAAATGTAAGGCTGGTATTTATTTGAAGTTGTACAGTATGACTTAATTCACATCTGTTGGAATAGAAAATATATTCTGTTGAGTATTTAAGAGGCTGTACATGTTTCCTTTTGTGTTTGGATTCTTTGTACTTTTTCATGTTCAGTACATCAATAAACAAAGTTGAAGGGAAAGAACAGTGTGGTGAGTAGGTCTTTGTACACATTT